CTAATCTTGCCGTTCGTTATAAATAAGTATTGAAATAACTTATTAAATACGTATATCAAATATCTATATAGTTTATTTTGTGTTAAATATCCATGGTAATTGTTTTCTTTTTCATAATTAAAATTAATTTAATTGACATTGGTGCTAGATTTGATTTTGCATATATTCATATAACAAGAATTTTAAATGGAAGTGAATTACGTTTATCAGAAAAAGAGAACTGAGTTTGGACGCCAGTGTCTTTTCAGCGACAAAGGTCCAGACCTTATCGATAATTATCCCGCTCACAAGGAATGGATGAAAAGTTTTATTTTAAGGTACAACGACTTATATTTAATAATAATTATTTTAAATGAAAGATAACGTAGAGACCCCGTTCGTAAGGCTTCCCAAAATGCCCCAGTCCAAGCGGAACATGAAATAAACACATTACGAGCCGAGAAAGCCAATTCAGGAATGAACCACTTTGAAGGTGGATGGCCAAAAGATGTGAATATACTAGACGAAGATTCCACTAAAAGATATCGACGAAAAATTGAAAAAGATGACGCGTACAATCCCACTATTTTTCAACTTGCTCAGGTAAAAGAAAATAATTTTGATAATGTTTATACTATTGCGTTTTTCTGTTTTTTTAGTGTATGGAAGACTGTATTCTTCAGAACAATGCTATAAACATCTATCAACAGTATTTCGACGACGTGGAACCTGCTGCATTTGTAGAACCAAGTTCTGCTCGTATAGTGAACGTATTTCAAGACCAATGCTTCGCAAAACGTCCTATTACACATGTATCGTGGGCACCTGAGAATGGTACTAGACTTGTAATGTCCCATTGCAGCCTGGCGTACCAGTCAAAAGGGGACGACACCTCCTCCTATATTTGGGAAATGGGTAAAACACTTAAATCTGTTTTTTATCTTATTTTATTTCATATTTTTTGTTTCAAGAAAATCCAAACACTCCTTTCCTTGTTTTAAAACCTGAGTATCCTAGCGTTTGTCTGGAGTACAGTCCGAAAGACGGTAACCTATTGATTAGCGGTCAAATGGATGGTCGTGTGGCCATTTGGGACATACGCAAAGGGTCAGAACCTGTTGACCACAGTCAAATTGAAGTCAGCCACCGTTATCCTGTTTTTAAGGCTCTCTGGATAGCTTCAAAAACTGGATGCGAATTCTTTAGCGCTTCACCGGACGGTAAACTAGTATGGTAAGTTGAAAAATGTATGAATTTTGTCGTTTTGCTATTCTTTTTTTCTTTTTTTTTTAAGGTGGGACATGAGAAAATTAGGTGATCCATTAGAAGTTCTTATGGTGGATTTAGTGGACGATCGTTTTCAGTCATTGACGAACGCTTTAGGTGTTACTGCCTTACAATACGAATCCACGGTTCCAACAAAGTTTATGGTAGGTTGCGAAAATGGCGAAATCTATTCGGGAAATCGCAAAGGAAAGACTGCTTTGGAAAAGCTAAACATCAAGTTTGACGGTCAGTTGGGACCGGTGCTTGCCTTGGAAAGAAATGCCGCATACATGAAAAATTTCCTTTCCATAGGCGATTGGACTGCGAAAATTTTTGCTGAAGATTGCCGAGAAAGTCCTTTAATGTGGACGACTTATCATAAGACGCCTCTTACGGATGGAGCTTGGAGTCCGAGTAGGTCAGTGTTAAAAAAAAAATGAACATTTTCTCAAATTTTTGAAATTATATGAAGTTTAAAGATTTTGCTTTTTAGATTTTCGGTGTATTTTACAACTAGAGCTGACGGTATATTGGACATTTGGGACATTCTCCAGCAACAAAAACAGGCCCTTTGTGGCATAAAAGTGTGCGACGTACCCCTGAAATGTCTACGATGTCACGAAATGGGGAAACTAGTGGCAGTCTCCAACACAATTGGAACCACTTATTTAATAGAACTCAGCGAAAATTTGACCATGTCTTCTAAGAGCGAAAAAATTTTACTTAACGCGGTAAATTAATAAATAAATAATACGTTTTTAAGTGTTGAAAAGGAGAAGTAACAACTTTCTTTGTTAGATGCTTGAAAGGGAGAATAAGAGGGAGAAAATTCTCGAAGCGAGAAATAGGGAAATTCGTCTAAAATTGCAGCAGCAGCAACAATTGGCTGAACAATTGGCTGAAGAAGGTGTAGAATCTCAAGAACCTGTTGAAGAAAATTTTGAGACAACTTGGTTGATACCAGAAGTAAAGCAGACTGAAGAAGATTTCCTGAAAGATGTCGCCGATGAGATAAAAAAGAGGAGTCCACAACAACGTAAGTTCACTCCTTTTGTCCGTAAACGATCCTGTATGTTTTTTTTTGTTACAGCTGAAGAAGATACTGCTTCAAAGGCGGAAGAAGCTGATGATTTCTAGGAATGAAAATAACTGACAGCAAAAGATTTTAGTGTATACATATTTTTGGAAAATATAGGCGTTTTCTACCGTCTTCAAACATTTCAACGAAATACTCAGGTACAACTTTCTTACATTTACAATTAAATTCATTTTTAATGTCATAGGAATACGGTGTTGGGTACTATAAGGCGTGATATTATGCATTTACATACTTTTATTTAAAAAGCGAATTTATTGCTCTTTGGCTTAATTTTCGTTAGACATTCTCAATTACCTGTCATCACAACGTTAGACACACATTTCCACACTTTCCTGTACTCATTATCGGCCAATCTTTTTTTTTATACGTTTATCCCTTTTTTTATTTTGAGATATATCTGACTTTGTAGATATTGAAGCTTGACGAGTTCGTTTAGTTTTAATTTGCTTTTAATTACCGAATTTTCCATAACTTTCAAATGGTAAGTTAAATGAAAATCTTGGACAAATTAATAAATTAGTTTTTATTTAATAATTACCTTATTAATGCTGATATGATTTACAAAATGAGCCTCATACGTTTCCGAAACTTATAGCTATAATACATATCAATAAGATAATTACATAATATAATTAAATAACAAAAAATAAAAGACAAAAATGCACCGAACATTTCAAACTTCTGTTGCGATAAATACATTAAACAGCCACCGTCTTTCCATGTTGGCTCCAATTCCAACAATTTCTTGTTTGAAAACGTTAGGAAATCGTGTCATAAGTACCTCGATGTCGGACGGTTTAATATTCGAGTCGAGTTTACTAACATAAGACCAGATGTAATCTAGACCGGCGCCAAAAGGATGCACGTTAAGAAAAGTCGATATTATACCCACGAGTTTTGCGTCTTTTTCGTTAAGGGTTTGCGTATTTAAACTGTCAGTAGTTGTACTCTCTGTAATGCTTGAAATTTCGAGTTTATCGGAGTCCGAATCTTCCAATTCTTTCTCTTTTCCATTTTTACTACAATTATTGGCGTAGTTTTCGATCGAATTTTGAAGCTTTACCTGCAATTCTTTCATTTTGTTCTCGTCTTCTGCTTGCCTTAATTTGTAGTCAACCAATTGCTGTTGTAAGTTTTTTAACGTTTGCTGTAAAATTTTTAGTTGCTTTTCTTTCTCATCAATTTCTTTCATGTAATCCCTTTTTAAGACTTCCACCTAAACAAAATAGATGTAGATTTTATAATTAATTTATTGAACGAAATATTTAGGGTGCTTTAAGAAATTCACCTCGTTTTTGTATGCCTCCATTTGGAACCTCAAATTATCATTTTCTTCCTTTAGCACCTTGTCCTCGTTTGAGATTTCAATTTTCGTTTTCTTTCGAGGATTTTCTTCTCCATCTGAAACTTCCATCTCGTCGTCAGCCGTTTCAATAGGGGTTTCCTCTTCAAGTTGGACATTTTTTAACTCCTGCCGAACATATACAAATTAGAATAATGTTGAAAAACACGTACTCTTTTTGTTTTCGTATGAACAAAGTTAAAAAATATTGTAGTTGTCTCGTACACTTTTTACTCATTAAATGCAACTTATTTAGGATTAAATTTTGCAGGACATTTTTGTAGGTATAATAAATGACAATGTATGACTTTGGGTCCTCGACTCACCTGCTCTTCTTACAACGATGTTTGACTGAAAAAATCCCAACCTTCTTGGTTTTTGCTCTTTTGTATTTATCACTGTTTTTAATTCAAGAATTTCTTTATTTTGCAAATATTTAAGTTTTAATTTGTTTTAATATTGATGTTTGCTACCTACCTTTTAATGTTTTAAAATTATTTTTATAAAACTCACCTGAAAAGTTATACACCGATTTCTGTGTATTATGTCATTTATTACCCCAAAAAAATGTACTGCAAATGTTTTAAGTTTTCACCATTTTTGTCAACAACTATGACTAGATTACTTAACAGATTTTTGTTTCAACTTACCTTGTCCCGTGGCAACTTAATATCATAATAATATGAAAATAAGCATAGTATGTATTTACACGAGTGACAAACCCTTTTTTTTATTTGTAAATCCGACAGCTTTAATTTTACTTACATATATAATACTCATTTTTATCAATTCTATTACTTTTGCCCAAATTTTCGTCAAGAATTTTCCGATTTAAAATACGTTATAAAGGTAAAATATCCGAGATAGAGAGACAGAGTAAAAAAGTAAAAGTGTTGGAAAATACTTAGTGGATGGTGATAGGACATGAAAAATTAAATATTAAAAAAACAAACAAACAATAAATAAATAAATAAAGCGTTAAATAACTCCTTTTTTATACAAACTTGTGCGTCAAGCATCACACGTAACATTCTACGTATCCGTTGTTATTAAGGGTTCCAACAGAGTAGCTAATAAAAAAATACTAGTCTAAACATGCAAGAAACCCTATTAACTTTACAAGCTAAACACTTCACATAACACGTTATGAATTGTGTTTAGGAAATAATAATAATTAAACCGGTTTAATTCAAAAGTAGTTTTTTAAATCAGCAATTGTTAACAAAATTTATTGAAATCTAAAAGATTTTTTTTAATAAGAGATGATAAAACTTTTAGTTCAGCTATTTGTCTGTTGTAACGTAAACATAAATACAAAATAAATTTGAATAAAGGGAGTTCAGATTGTAAAGTCGTAGGGTGTTACATACCATCGACTGCTTTTTCCACAGCTCAATGTTTTTTCTCTGTGCCTTGGTGAAATGGTCCCAGACTTTCTTGTGACAGGCAGCCAAGAATACACGTTCGATTTGACTGACTGACAGGCACACGTAAAGTAACGATTAAATTAAGGATCAATAGACTTAAATCTGTACTTAAATTGTCCCCAACATGACTTACACACACTCGCACACTCGCCATTTCTAGACTGACCGACCAACAAATACGAATTTTATTTATTTTACTTTTTTCCACTTTCTTTTTATTCGTCTAGACCGAGAACCAGCAAGAAAAAAACGATCATACTTTACCAATACACCGCCAAAATCTTTGAAAATGTATTTGACTCACTTTCCACTTACAATAATAGTTGTGGCACATACTAGACTTCTCAATTTTGAAATATTATTCGAATTTTCCAACTTAAATTTTAAGAAACATTAAACTACTTAGATGTTAACGTTTTTCAAGACCGAGTTGAAAAATTCGATTAAACACATAAATTGGAGCACCCAGTATGTAATTATGTTTTATAACAAGAATAACCTCGAGGTTAATCATATAGGACTCTTTATTTAATTGATTTAAAAAAGTTCTGTAAAATGATTTTCCTCAATTATGTATTAAAGTTTTTAAAATTCATATTAAACCAGATAAGAAAAAAAAAGAAATAAAAATTGCTTACATTGCAATAGAATTCCTTGCATTCTCCCCTTCATAATTTCCTTGGCTTTTTGCAACTCTTCTTCATATTGAGTCTTTTCAGTTAAAAGACGTCTTACATGTGAATTGGTTGACTGAACCATCGAATAAAATGTGTTTGAGTTTCGCTTACTGCAGTCTCCCCTCTCTAGCCATGTCACTAAAATCTTTTAAAAGACAAAGATAATTTTTTAGTACAGAACCCTCAAAATTTATACCTACTTGGACGGCCTTGGTAAATGTTTCATCTTGTTTTAGTTTTTCAGCAACATTTTGTGCTTCATGGTCAGTGTAATGAACAATAGGAGGAGGTGAAGGGGGCCGTAATCTCTCTTCTTCCATTCTCTCCCGGTGTCGTTGCTCCCTTTGCAGTTGTCTTTGACGGCATTCCCATTCATATTGATCATCTCGCGCCTAAAAAATTACATAATAAATTCTTGATAAACTAATCAATTGTCAAAACTACCTGTGCATAATCCACATGAAGTCTTCCTGTATTTGGAGGATCAGTATTGGATCCAATTCTGATCCTATATCCTGATAAAAAAATGGCATGATCAACGCAGTGTTCATATAAAAACCTAATATGGCAAAAATTTTTCTTGCTCAATCTTAGAGTTGTGATCTCCCCACATCTTTCAAACACCTCTCTTATAATTTCTTCAGTCATATTCTCTGGCAGACCCCCGACAAACACTGTTCTGCAACCTAAAGGTCTTTCGCGTGTGGTGGGAGGGGGTGCGTTGGGATTTGGTGGGAATAACGTGCAGGATTTACAATGGATTATTTCTTTTACTGGATTAATCATAATACCAGGATCCGGAGTTACCAAGTTGGGATCTGGTGGTATAATGGGTGAGACCATACCTTAATGTTTAAAATAAACAAGTCAGTTTAGTATAATACAGAAATGTATTAATTTATTACTGACCATAATTATTCATTGGCATCATATTTGGATCCATTATCATATTCATTCCTACCATTGGATATCCCATTCCTACAACACCACCCCACATATTGGGAGCTATTCCAGATCCATTTTGCAATGTGACAATTTCTGTTGGGTTTGACATATTAGAGTCAGAATCATCCTTTGATCTGTCACTGTCTCTCTTGTCATGTTCTCTTCTATCGGACCTTCGCCTCTCTCTTTTGTCACTGGGACTCATTCGAAGGGTTTCTTTACTTGGTGTCTTCTTCCTATTCTTGTTGAATTCAAGAGATGGATCAATCCCTGAAGGCGTCGCAGTTATTAATGTTATATCATTTGGGTCCATTGGATTTACCAGAGGGACAGGTCCAGTTGGAATAATGGTTCCTGTTCCTTTAGGAAAAATAAGTCTTACATTTATCTTATATCATACTAAATACTCTACCTATTTGTTGTCCACCAAGAGAAAATGCCATTGTTGTTTGTTTATTGTTTTACACTTTAAATATTAAAAAGTAGCACCTTACTCATGTTGAGTATCGATCGAATTTGCAACACAATTATCACTATTCCGGGAAGCAGTGTTGATATTTTGTCAAATTTTGAATACAAAAGACGCCACTGAATAAAATTCTTTCAAGCACTTATTAAATAATTATAAAACAACAAAAAGTTATTTTTAATACCTTAATTTTGACGTTTCATTCCATATAACCTATAATTTCAATGACATTGAACTCATAGAACAGAGCATACATGGATGAAAAATTTATCTATGGTGTAAAGAGTCAAAATACTGATTCGAATCTTATCTATGAATTCCAATATAGCAATCTATGAATATAGCAAAGATAACATAGACCATCACTCTATGGAACATCACATAGGTCAAGGCCTGGTCAAGGTTGCATTAACATTTACATTGCCTTTTTTGTAATAATTAACCTCTTTTTTTAATGTGTTTTTAATAAAATGATGGATTTAAAAGACAATACAGATTCTATAAAATGTAATAAAAACGATTCAATTTCCCGTATTAATCGCGAAACAGTGCATAAGATTTGTTCTGGACAAGTAAGTTTTAAATAGTTGCAACTTATTTAAGTTTATTTTAATCGTTATTTAAAGGTAGTCTTAAGTTTAGCTATAGCGGTAAAAGAACTTGTAGAAAATGCAATTGATGCTTCAGCAACGATAATTGATGTTCGTTTAAAAGAATATGGTAGTGAACTAATTGAAGTATCAGACAATGGAGTTGGAGTTAAAGAAGAAAATTTTGAAAGTTTAAGTATGTTTTAAAAGTATATATGCAACTTAAATTTTGTTTATAATTGTTCATTTTGTTAGCTTTGAAACATTACACGTCTAAATTAAGAGAGTTCAGTGATTTAGAATCTGTTGGAACACTAGGTTTTCGGGGCGAAGCCCTTAGTTCACTATGTGCTTTGACAGACTTAGTTATTATAACTAGACATAGTTCAGCAAATTATGCTACTAAAATAAGTTATGATCACAATGGAAGAATAGTCACTAGTTTGCCAGCAGCTAGGGATGTGGGGACTACGGTCATTCTACAGAATTTATTTAACTCTTTACCTGTACGTCGTAAAGAGTTCTTGAAAAATCTTAGACGTGAATTCAACAAAATGTGTCAATTGTTGTATGCCTACTGCTTAGTCTGCAGGAATATCAAGTAAGTTACATTTCTTTGAAAATTATATTAATAGGGTCTCGAAATTTAAAAGTAGTATGGTTTAAAAACGGCTGAACTAAATGCAATATTATATGTACTTATACATATTCCTAAACATTTTTTTATATCCACTTTTCAATTTATTAATAATAATGTTAAAAAAAATCGAAACTTAATTGAAAAGATCTTTATTTTGTAGGATTACATGTTCCAATCAGACAAGTAAAAGTTCAAAAAATACCGTTGTTGCAACTCTAGGTAATAATTCAATAAAGGACAATATAATAAGCGTGTTTGGTCCCAAGCAGGTATCAACATTAATTGAAATAGAAGCAGTTGAACCAGACGAGACTATCGTGAAAGAATTCGATATAAAAAACATCGTTTATGGCGAACCATTGCCTTTTAAATTTGAATTTTTTATTTCAAACGTGACTCATGGCAATGGGCGTTCTACAGTTGATAGACAATTCTTTTATGTGAATAATAGACCTTGTGAACCCCAAAAAGTAATGAAAGTAGTGAACGATGTCTACAAACAGTTTAATTCAAACCAGTACCCTTTTGTTTACCTCAATGTCGAAATGGAAAGGTCTTGCGTCGATGTTAACGTTACTCCTGACAAACGACAAGTTTTTTTAGAAAAAGAAAAATTGCTTTTGGCCGTTATTAAAAGCTCTCTTTTGGAAGCTTTCAAAGCTACTCCGTCTACTTATACTTTGCAAAATACGAAAATAGAAACAAAAATAACCGATTATACAATTGGTGGGATGAAGGGGCTAAAAAGACCGTTAGAGGAATGTGAAGAAAACGATAAAGAAGAAAATTTTACTTTTATGGATAAGTTCAAGAAGTCTCTGTCAAATAAGAGCTTTAGCACAAAATCTGATGATGAAAATTATAACAAAGAGTCACCAAAAAGCATTTCAAATGAATTAGACAAAGTGGATGTAGAAGAAAATAGAGTTCTTTTAGAAGAAAAATGTGAAAATAAAGAATCAAAAAAGTTTGAAACTTTCAACTGTATGGAATCTCCGTCCCACTCACTTGATCATACCTTTAAAAAGAGCAAATGGGACAATTTGGTAAATGAAGTGCCTGAGGTTCCTAAAACAAAATTAAATCATGCCATCAAAATTTTTCCAAAAGAAATTGAACAAATTATTAATGGTTCTTCGTTATCAGAAAATACTGTTAGCAAAAGTAATGAAACTATTATCAATGAAACGATGCATCTTACACTAAATTCAGAATTAGATTTCAACAAACAGTCCAGCACATGTAAACTTTCTTCCCCTGTTAGGAAATCAAGTAAATGGGATGATTTAGACGCAGAATTTCCTCCTACATCACTAACGACAGAAATTAAAGGAGAAACTTTCAAATCAGTTAAATGCTTTTCAAGGTCTAAAAAAGACAACGTCATAAAAATAGATTTAAACATTTCGTTAGGAACATCAACGAACGAATTTAGTAATACAAAGATTTCAATTAGAACTTCAGAAAGTCAAATTGAAAATGCCCTGAGAACATCGTCGTACTTTAATCGACATAAAAAAAAGGAAATCTTAGTCCGATTTAGGTCTAAAATAGCGCCGGATGCAAACAAAACCGCCGAACAGGAACTTCAAAAACAAATTTCAAAAGATATGTTCCATCGAATGTCAATTATCGGACAATTTAATTTGGGATTTATAATTGCAAAACTCGATAACGATTTGTTCATAATTGATCAGCATGCAACAGATGAGAAGTACAATTATGAAACGTTACAGCGAAATACTATTTTGGAAAGCCAAGTATTGGTAAAGTAAGTTAATGTTCTTTACATTGTTTCGTTTACTTGAGAATTTTATTACTTTTCAGTCCAAAACCATTGGAATTGTCTGCCACTAACGAAGCAATTCTTATCGATAACGAAGAAGTATTCAAGAAAAATGGCTTTAACTTTTTGATAAAGAAAAATGGTAATTGTACAATTACTAAGACATGTTTTTTTTTTTAATTAATGGTAGAAGGCTTTACTTGTTGAAATTCCATAATCAATTACAGGAAACGAAAGTAAAGTTTCAAAAAATATATATTAACAGTTTACTACAATTGTTTCACTAAAGAAACCAATGTTTTGGTGAAATAATTGTGTTGAACTGTTAATATAATTTTTGAAACTTTCCTTTAAATGTTTTTTTTTTAATGTCTAATTTGTTTATATTCCTTTTAAGCTCCTGTAACAAAAAAGGTTTTACTTACTGCCATTCCTATAAGCAAAAACTATACCTTTGGAAAGGATGATATAGAAGAGATGCTATTCATGTTACAGGTCATTAAAATTATTTTTGATTTGCTCATTTATGTTTCATTAATAAATCTCAAGTTATTAGAACAGTGGCAGAAATTCTCTTTTAATCTTTATTTAGTGTTGGCGTACATCAATTTTTGATTTTTAATTTTTTATATGTATATTAGGAAAACGTTAATCCCGAAGTGTGTCGTCCTTCAAGGGTTCAGTACATGTTTGCTTCGCGTGCTTGTCGAAAATCGGTGATGTTTGGGTGCCCCCTTAGTCGTTCAGATATGAGAAAACTCGTTGATCATATGGGAGAAATCGAACAGCCCTGGGTAAGGATCTTTCTACACAGGGTGTTCCACAAACCCCTTCCTTACAACTTGAGCCTTTCCGAAAGCATTCCTTCAATCTGTTTGTAAGGTAAGAAAATTACTCTTTATTTAACATTTAATCCAGCTCCTCCTTTGATTAATAGAGATGTGATGATCTTTAAGACCTAACTTGGAACACTCTGTGTATGACTTAAGTTTGAAGTATCTTGCATTAATTTAAAGAATTTTAATTCTTTCTAGAATTGTCCTCACGGACGACCTACAATGCGTCATCTTATTAATTTGGATCTTATTGAAAAAAAGAGTATGAATTATTTTTAGTTTTCTACAATAACCATTTTTTTAATCTTCAACAACACAGAGATATCCATTAAATATATTTTCGTATTATAGATTCATTTTAATACTAATTTCTCTTTACTTTTCATCGCTTCGTATTAAAATTAAAATCTCTTAATAGTTCTAATAGCTTTTGTAAACTGCCTAAAAATAGTAACACATTTGGAAACTTAAAACATTTATTTGTTAAAAAATGTCTTATCATAATCAATAACAAACAGACATCATTTAAATTAATTTAAAATTATTTGTAATTCTAATAACCAGTTTTTTTTTATTATACACTAATTGTTTTAAAAATATTAAAACCACTATTTGCTGTACTGATAATGAGTCCTGGTATCTGAGGATGCCAGTGGAGCTCCTTGATGTCTTTCTGTCCTTGATGTATGAATAGAAGTTGAGGGGGCACATCCTAAATATTTAAAAAATTATTAGAAACAAATATCGATTAATGTATATTAGGAAGTACAATTATAATTCTATGGTGTGATCATAAGTAACCATATACTGTAATGTAACAAGATAAAATTAAATTGTACCGTAACATCTTCCGCATCATCGCAGTCCCTTTCGACTGCCAAGTCCCATAAAGCAATCTGATCGTCACTGCCCCCAGATGCGAACACTGATGAGTCTGTTGGATGCCATTCTACTGTAGTGACGGGGGCTGTATGATGTTTGAACGTTGCTACTGCTGTGTTTTCTTTAAACTGTCTCAGGTCCCATACATGCAAAAATCCGTCATCACCCCCTTATCAAAATTTAAAACTTTAAATAAAGGCCTCATTTAGTAAATATGATGAATCTAAGATTAAATTGAGTTTCATTTTTGCTGCACTAATCTTTATTGCATAAATGTTCTCACAACTTATAGTCTTCATTTAGGTTTTTTCAGTCATAGAGTTGAGAGTACCACTATAGTTCAAAAATGTACTAACAACGAAAATATTGTTTAACTGGATTATATTTATTAAAATGTCTTCATTTAGAAAACAAACTATTTCTTATTATTCTACCATAGGATATTTTTAAAAACCAATTCTTTATTTTTGTAAATTTTAAAGTTAAACTACCACTGCCAATGAAAGATTCTCTTCTGTTTCAATTAATTACGTTGTCATGTGCTAGGTCATTGCNGCTTTCATGTGCTTGGTCATTGCTCAGCATGCAAGCTTTACTTGGTGGTGCCCTGATATCCCAAATTCGTATACTCTTATCCACTGAGCAAGATGCTAAAACACTCTCTTCATTAGGTGACCATTGTATATCTTCCACCGAATCAGTATGGCCGATTAAAGGCCTCTGGTCCACGTTCCATTTGCCTCCTTCTGCTGGTCGCCAGATATGCAAATTCCTTCTACAATCACCCGTAGCTAAAAACTGAAAGTATCACTGTCATAAAAATAACCCAATAGGTAATTTTAATAGCTTACCCCTGGTGCTACAGAACTCCAATCCATGCCAAAGCCTTCTTCTTGATGTCCACTGAAGGTGAAAAGTGGTTTAATAGTATTTTTAACGTGGTCTTTGTTATAACGAGATAAAAGTTGAGGATTATCTACAGCCTGTAGCTGTTGAGTTAAATCCCAAATGTTAACTCGGCCTAATTCACTCCAACTGGCTGCAACAACTGTATTGTTTAGTCTTGTACACTAAAATATGTAAATACTCATAACAATGAATTAAATTACTTTTAATTAAACTGACCCGTATTCTATCAACACATCCTTGGTGTTTTATCAATGCGCATGACATTTGAGGACGTTTTGACTCATCCCCGTCTTCTTCATCGTCATCTTCTGATTCTTCTTCGTCACTTCGACTGGTCTTATGTAAATTCGAAAATTTCATGACTATGAGACTATTGATGTGAGTCTGAGATGCTTGAGTTCCAGCTATTGCATATATAGTAGCTGGAAAAGTTTCTCTATTTTCGCCAAGTTCGTCCTTAATAACATCGAAACTTAAACAAGGAGCTCCTGTTTGGGCTTGATGTAACATAATGTATGCTGTTTCGTCACAAACTAGTTCTTCACCTTCTTCAAGAGACTTACCAGGAAGGTACACTTCTTTTGCTTCAATACTTTCCCTGTTTTCGTCGTCTCCTTCGTACATTGCGTTATCGTTCTCCATGGTTTGATTTTCCTCTAATTCCATCTCATTACCAGACATTTCGCCCCAATTTTAATAGATAATTATTAAAAAGAAGAAACACGCCTGATTAAATGTTAGGTTAATTCTTCCAAACATTAGAGTCATAGACATAAACATGGCGGAGGCCATAGATTAAAAAAATACATACCGTCTGCGTAGACAATCATAGATAAGATCGAGATCATAGATATCAGGCAGAACTTAGAAAATTTCAAATGTATTGTCTGAAAACCGCAAATGAAAATTTGTTTTTCATATTTTACCAATGTTGTTGATGGTTTCTTGATTTATTTATTTATTTCTTTATATCCAATCAGTAGGAAATTTGTTGAACTTTCAAACCCCAATTTAAAAATGTCCATTTTGCTTCATGTTAATTTAATTTTTCCCTTACCAAACGAGCGTAAAGTACCAAAAATATATTAAAGTTGTTGTCAACAATGAAAAGAATTTTACTGTTGGAAATCATGGGGATGCACTTTCAACCCCAATTTAAAATTTAAAGGCGTCGTTTTTATTTATGTCGTCGTCAATTAGATTGTTGTTCTCATTTATTTTAAAGAGGTAAACAATATTTTTTTTGTTTCAGCATTTGCATATTAAGGATAATTCCACTGCTATAAGAATATTTTGGACTGCCCTTTGACTTACAAAGAAAGGTAGAATCTTACTTTTAATAAGCTTTTTCTTAGTAATTGCAAAATAAAATTTATGTTTCAGAACTTTTGAACTATTCACCTTCGGAGTTTTGTGTCGGGGTTTTAGATCCTTCACTAAACATGTGGGCACTACAAAGTTGTTATTCCAGAATTGCTCTTTACAAACACGGACAGTACATTGGAAAGGTAGGATTATTTCTTTTTTTTTAATTTTCTTTAAATTTAAAACGAATTTCTTCCTTACTAAACCAGCTAAAAGTCCTAATATGTATAAAAGTCTTTGTGATGTATCAATGAAATGAATTTTATAGTTGGAAATTAAAGGGATGCACTTTCAACTCTAAATTTAAAAACGCCGTTTTTATTTTTTGATAAATTAATTTCTCCTTTATTAAACGAGCTAAATGCACCAAAATGCATAGAAGATGTTATAAGGGATCAGTGAAGAGAGTTCTATTGTTAGAAATTACCAGAGTGCACCTCCAACCCCCCAATTAAAGGCGACAGTTTTATTTTTTGATAAATGAATTTCTCCTTTATTAAACGAGCTAAATGCACCAAAATGCATAGAAGATGTTATAAGG